ACAAGAACAGCAGCGTTCGATGTGCCCCTGATGAAGCAAAAGATCACTGAGGATCACCAATCAATAAAGCGACCAAGAACACTTTGAAGCCCAGCGCGCTTATTGTTATTCAAATTTTAAATTGTTTTAAGAAAAAACAATACTTCAGTCAAAGAAATTAAAAAAGCGACTTCAATAATATCGAAAGATCAGAAAAGTGTAAAGAAAATAGTCGCGTAGCACCAACGACCTTTTCATTAAAACTAAGAGAAGCACTTGAACGGCAGGCACAGTAGGTGAAGGCAACCAAGCAACCGTTTAACAAAATATTGAGACGAAAATTGGCGCTTAAATATTTTTTTTAATAATGTAGACTTAAAGAATGAATGCATGTAAGCGTTGAACAACTCTGGAAAATGAAATCAACAAATGCTGGTAACCGGTATTGATGATCGACGTACGGTGAGACGTTGAGAGAACACACTAATGTTTTTAACTTTCCTTCGCAATGTGGAATATGTAAATAATTGCTGTACATACATATGTATATGCGTAGCTACATGACAGCAGAGCGTATGAAATTTTGAATGAAAAACACTGTCGATGCAATGATCGAACATCGATCGGTGCTGGTGCTTAACTCTTTCAACGAGTGTGGGAAATAAAAATATGCTATTGTTTGACGCCCGGTAGGGGAAAAATGCATGTTTGCTTTCTTTTTCACTATATACACGGCAAAGAAAGACGCAGTCACCGAAAAGCCTGCACTCAAGTGGACACACACGCACCCAAAACATTAACTCACACGTGTGTGTGTGTGTGACTAAGTAGACATCAATGGGTCTCAAGTGAGCGTTCACGATGTATACATGTATACGTCGTCTACCCCCAAAAGTACACGTGTGCCACTGGAAAAAAATAAAAATAAAATAAAAAAAAAAGTAAATGGTGTCAACAGTGGCTGCGCGTAGAATGATCACCGCTCGATGTGACCGACTACTGGTTGAACGCATCCGCTGCTGATCACTTGATATTGGCTACTACGTATGTACATACATTGTACTTAGTACACTCGTAGTGTCACTGCCAGCTTGCTCGTTGAATGTTTTCCAAATGCGCTTGTGGCTGCTCTATTGCTGCCGGCGTCTTTGTCTGCTCTGCTACCGCTGCTTCTGTGCAATCAACTACCTACCGCCTCAGAAATATATGCTTTACCGTCGATAAATTTTTTTCTTTTTATTGAGTTTTTTTTTAACTACTGCAATGTTTGCTCAAATAGTTTTCATCGGTCTTTTCAGCCTTTTAGTTACATATGTATGAAGGTAAAAAAAAAAAAATCGATTGCTCCACCCGTTTGCTTTTGACGAAGCAGTAGGTAAAAGAAGATTGAATGGGCTGTACATAGCCACCGTGTTTTGTTTACGTTTATGCTACAACTCTTCCGCCTGCCGCTCACTTTCAAACCAGCACAGATTCTGTCACTTTTACGCTTTGACTCTTCAATTGCCGCTTCAATGACTTTAGGTTGCTATATTTTCTTTCAAATTTTAAATTTTTGTTCCAACGTCTTTTTAATGAAGTGTCTATTTCCTCTGCCTGCCTGCCTCGTTAATTGATAAATAGTTGCATTGCTTTTCAATAGCTCTTTAAGGGCTGCCATAACAGGTTCAATGGTTTGTTTTCCAAACTTAAAATCGATTTCATGATTTTTTCTCTGGTCTTTAGACAATTTTTTTTTCAGCGGCCTTTTTACGCAGTCTTTCTTTATATTCGTGTGTATTTTATTACTTGTTAGCATTATTGTTGTTGTTGCGCGTATGTGCGATTTCTCGGAAATGCATTGCGGCAGCGATAGCTCGACAATTTACAAAATCGCAGCAATGCCAACAACCACGCTAAGCAGACTTTTGATATTCGGGGTATTTGTCTTTCTTTTTTGTGAGGTTGGCATCATTTATTTAGCATTTAGTAGTTTCCTATTATAATCTTTGTTCGTAACGTAGGTGCTAAATGTTTTCCACATTATTAACACCTATTTATGGCCCATTGTTGGTTGTCATGACTGAAGTGAAGTATATTGCTGCGGGTGACGCGATAAACCGGATACAGTTCTCTTCGGCAGATAGTAAGCCTAGTTGAGTTACGAGTAGAATACGAAATTCGAAACCTAGGGCGAATGTTCTTATTTTAATAAGATCTTGAAGATATAGATATTTATGTAGATACTTATTGAAACTTTTTCTAACTTCTATATCATGTTTATGTCTAGGGAAAGATACCTGTTTGTTTATTACTGCTGTCTCTACAAAGATAAGTTAACAACATTAGGCCTAATTTTTGTTTGGAGAGGAGATAAAGGCCAGTAAAGTCATAAGTTCTCCCGTCATTGATCGCCTAAACTGAAACGTGAACCTACTTTGCTCATCGTGAATAGGCTAACTTGATTCTCGCTTGCTCCCTTCGTCGGATCCACAGTCTGACAGTGCACTACAATTAGGATCTGAGCTAACACCTTCACGCACTCTCGTGGGAACACTAGGAAAAAATCAAACCAGTGTGAGGTGATTATAAACACGCTAAGGTAACCCAACCTAACTCAAGTCTTATAAAATAATTGAATACCTCTCTAAGTACTTTAAGAAATTTACAATTTATACTATTCTAAGATTTTCAATCATGTGAAAAAATAAGTCATTGGCTTAAGACTGAATTCTCTTTCCTCTAAATATCATAACCACACCTAAAATATACGAACACCCGGCTGTCCTAATATAAATATAGCTTTATTCATCCCCTTTTAATGTCTTTGTCTGTCATCCTTTGGCTAAGCCTATAAACTTCATATTAACAAACAGCACTTACATTGCACATTCTATTGATGTATTATCCGAAAATCCTGCCAAATATACCGAAAATATGCCACAAAGATGCCGCCTACAGTTTCTTACACAAAACTTCATTACATTCGCACATTTTCCTAAGAAAATTAAGTTGCTTATCGCATAAACAAATTGGGATTAACCAGAGTAAATATGCTATTTTCCAACCATTTACGACGCCTCCAGTCGGGAAAACCCTAGGCAAGCTAAAGAGCGCAGGTACGCAGTGAACAGCATGCAAATGGTAAATCACTTTTAATTTGCTGTGCAACAAAAGGTGGCGAATGCAGTTAGTAACAGCCGGTCAACAGGAAACAGTTGGTATGTACATATATACATATATAAAAAAAGACACTGGGCGAACAAATTGACATAAAGACTTATCGCACATTTGCATTAGGATTAAGGCGAGCGCGTGTAGCAGCAGACTGAGCGCTGACTGGCAAGTACTTTCATGCCTGCCAGCCAGCCTTTGTATACAGTATATTTTGCTTTGCTGCCTTTATGCTTAAGTGCACATTTAAGATACCTACCCTAAAATGCGCATTAGCAGCATTATTTTTAACATTTATAAGGAAACTCCTCCGATATATGCATTCAACATACCTGCACATTGGCGATACCTGTCTTAAAAACTGTGCAACTATTATCAATTATCAAAGAAGGTATTACGTTTACCTGCACTGGCACTACAATTACCTAATTTTACAAGCTTTTATTTATTTTGCTCATCTCGCAAAACAACGAAAATGGCAATCAATTAATGTAGTTATATAGACAATTAGATACCATTCGGTAAAAATTTCGCTTGCAGTAGTTTCTACGTGGTAAGTGCTCCTCCATTATTTGGTTTAATAGGGATTCGGATACCTTCCTCATTGAAGTAGTAAAGAAAATTCGCTTAAGTGCTTTTTTCGGTTAAGAGCACAGGTTTTTCGTGCAAAGAAAGATGGGCAGCTAAGCAAAATATACTGTACATACATATGTGGAGATACAGGTCATCTCACTCGCTCATATACTTTGTATCGCAGAGTTCACCATTTCCGTTCTTTAGTTGCGCATCTGTATGCACATAAATTCCCTTTTCCGTTATAGTGCAACATTTGCACCTGTTGCATCGTCAAAAACATTAGGGGTATTCTCTGAGTCTTGCAAAGCCCTTGCAAGGTGCACGGATTGCACGGTTTGCAAAGCTGTCCCATACGAAAACCGGTTTTTACCGTGCAATCCGTGCAATCTGTGCACCGTGCAAGGGCTTTGCAAGACTCAGAGAATACCCCTATTGATTCTTTGGGTTTCATAGGAATTTTTAGTGTTTTTTCAAAGGACAATAAGAATTACAAAAACCCTACAATGCATTATGCATTGCAGCAAAGCGATAACAGAGTGACCGCATAAAACAACAAAACGTACATAAATGCCACAGAAGGTAGAAATAACGAACAAAGTTGCAAAGTTGGTTTCGTTACTAGTAGCGTGTGCTACACTCATATAGTGATGTATGGACATAGCCTCTGCAACACATCCTTTTTGTATGCGCACGTGTTAGTGTTTGCCTATAGCAGCCTGGCAATAGACTATTTATTTTCCCTTTGCTATGCTCTTCTGTTCTGCCGCCTGTGATTACGGCTCGAGAAATTATGTGACAGATGCGCACAGCTGTGTTCTTGATTGCCGGCCGTGTTGGCTCGCATCTTCATCATGCCAAATGTCGCTTGAAACTGTGTAAGGGCATGTGTCAAGCAATTCATTAAATAGTCGAAAGTCCCAAAAATTACAAGGAAAGTTCAAGGGGTGTTCACGCAGTCCGAAATTGTGTTATTTTTCTTGCCTCTTGGAATAGTGTCGCAGGGGATTTTGGCACTTCTCCAGCCAAATTCAGATATTTTAGGATGCACAAATGTTGCTCCAAATTGAAAGTTAATTTCTGAGTATAGGCAACTTTGCTCCGCCTATTCCTTAAAGAGCTCACTGAGAGCCCCTGAGGGAATTTTCGATGTGAAAAGTTATTAAACGACCCATTCAATAACTGTTTAACCTGACATACCTTTTTCGGTTTCTTCAGTTCAATTAAATAATATTTTTCAAATAGCGTTTCAACTGAAAAATCCTTAAATTATTCTTATAGTGTTTTTTACTTACGTGTCTGTGAAATGTCTGTCACTGAGACTGTTCCTTCCGCAGCTACATGTATGGCTTTGTTGTGTGCACACTGTGACATTATTACATAATCTTCTACTGTACATAATGCACCCGAAATCACCACCTGGAAGAAAAAAGTTAAAAATATATAAGAAATTCCATCATGTAAATTTTTCGCGAAAATTACTTTCTTTATTTTACTCTGTGTTACCGCGTAATGCTACCGGTAACTTCAATTAAGTCTTCTTGTTTACTTAGTCTGATAAGTGGTATTTTAATTCTAAATTATTAAATTTTTGGATTTTCACGTTAATTGACAATATTCAAATATATGCATGTCATCAATAAAAAGAAATGTCGACGAACCCAAAAAAAAACAAATATGTATTTTTATTTAACATATTTACCTTGATATTTAAAAAACTAACATAGTTATTGGAAGGGCGGAAAATAGTTAAATTTATCAGACCTGTGTAATAAGTTAGGTTAGAATATTTGGGGAGTTGTCCTCCACACACGTGAGACAATGATATCATACAGAGTTACCAATGCCTTTCGGTGTTAAAAATTTAACTCGGGTGCAAAGGTGTTTGTTATTTTCTTCTTTTATTTTGTTCATGCAACTATGCATGTCCGTGGTCCGATGTGTCCCAATCCCCGCCCTAGAATCATCGTGTGTAAGCCAAATAGACAGTGACCCGTAGGAGCCCTTATAAGAACACATTTCCATTCTATATAGACTATAGACAAGGCCAGCTAATCGGGGAGTTATTAAGGGGGAACGCTTGATCCAGCATTAACTGGCTACTAAGGCACTGCCACCTTTAACAAACATTTTAAAGTTGCCTTGAAGGTGTAGGTGTTATATATAACCTTTCATTGCCGATTCATCAGCTTCGCAATCACCCTTAATACCCCATAGCCACCTTTAACAAACATTTTAAAGTTGCCTTGAAGGTGTAGGTGTTATATATAACCTTTCATTGCCGATTCATCAGCTTCGCAATCACCCTTAATACCCCATAGGCCACTATATTAGTTGAATTCTGCATTACAGGGCCACCTCCCAGAACTAAGCCCTTCATGACGGGACTTTGTATTATCTATTGATAATTCTAAAGCTTTCAGGGCCGCCTCACTCAGAAAAAAGAAAGCCTAATTCTCTCTATGTATTATATACATATTTTTAAGCGATGTTCCGTGCTGTCGCCTGTATAACTAACATTTCTGACTGATATATGCATACAAAAGTTGTCAGGGAGTCGAACAAATTTCTTTAGCTCCAGTTCAGGCGAGATCTCCTCCGGCGGTCTCTTGAAGTTCAGAGGCATATGCATAGAAGTTTTCTGACAGTAGCCATATGGTGAGTTCTGATATACCTTTCCTGTTGTGCTGGTATTATATCTTATTGAAAGCGAAAGAGGCTATTCAATAGTTGCTACTGATGGCATCGATATAGTTGCCGACGTGCTTAGATTAGAATAGCCTACGTGCTAAGGATAGCCTACATGATCACAATAGCCGACGTGCTTGGGATAGTCGAATGTCTTGATTCTCCGTCGATCCTTGAGCAGGCTTCTTTAAATGCGGATGTATTCGATCGACTAAGGCTGGTATTAGCACTTGCGATGCGAATGAATTTGGCGAACCGAATGGTTTGGCGAACGCAACTAAAATATACATTAAAAGTGTTCGCTCGTACCAGCTTGTGCAAGTTCCTTGCATTGATAAAACTCTTAATGCCTGCTCTGCCTCTTAATTCACTTCGTCAGTGATAATACCACCCTAAATATCCAAAATTGAGTACAGCAATACTTTCTTGGATCTGCTAGTCTGTATATTTGTATCTCAAATCTCAAGAAAACAGGCTACTTATCTCAAGAATGATAAACTTATTTTTTATATCTTCATTTTCTTTTTCGAATGCTATGCGAATCTCCAATGCGTTGCTTATCAGCTTAAGATTTTAATTTCATCCCAAACAAACACGCAGTGCTACACAGGTATGTGCATATGTGTGGGCGTAAAGTCACAGTTAAAAAATGTCACAGAATACACGCCCAAACAAAAAACACCGGTAGCGTGTAAGTCCAGTAGCGGCGGAAGGTTTTCTTGTTCCATCTCTTTTTTTTTTTGTTGATGTACATAAGTACATATTTGACAAGAAATGGGAAATGACATGCTTTCAGTATTGTTTATCAGTGGATGCTATGTAGATAGTGACAACCAATAAAACATAAAATGGTGAAAGAGATAAGAACAAATTATATTTGTGTGGCCATAATGAGTTAGGTACGTGCAATTTTTGTGATCTCACAATAACAACCAACATCTAAAAATCTGCTTTGTGAGCAAATGAACAGATATATAGAGCTGGTATTGGCATGTTCATCAGCGCTTAGTAAGCATGTAAGTTCTCACGCCACTTATTTTTATATGTTCGCGCCGCATACGCCCTGGCGGTCACTGTGTACGAATATGTATGTATGTCTAGCGTTTCACGGTATGGATGGGTGCATTTCCATTTGCTTATTGAGAAGTGCAATTGACAGCATTATTATGTTGCATAAATTGTTGTTGTCGCTGTGACTACATTATACGCCGCCTGAGTTATGTTCTCATTTGAGTATTGCTGTTGTTACTTGTCTTATTGTTTGTTGCCGCTGCTGTCTGCAGTCGGTTTGCTGTTATTAATTAATAATTAAATTACTCTCCATACGTCAAGCAATGAATTCACCACTGTCTTCGCATTGTCTTAAAAGCTGTTGTGTTTTGCATGTCATTTGATTCATTGCTGTTCTGTTTCGCGCTCTCGTCCTCATTCCTGTTGTTTTGTTATTGCCTCTATTTATCGTATGTAGTTTGTTGATTGTTTATGCTTGTTTGCTGAGTAATTGTTCTTCCTGCATTTAATGGCTGCTAGATAATTAATCAAGTTTTGTAATTCCCCTCTGAGTGCATTCTGTCAGTGGGTATGTGGGGACTACTATTACTATTTAAGTATGTCCAAAAGCTGGCTGTGTGGTCTATCTGCGGGATAAACTAGCAATATTAGGTGCCCTATAGCTTCACTAACCGGCCACAATGAAGTGGTGTAGAAATTAAATTTGAATATTTTATCATTCAAATGGAAAAAAGAATTAACATGTGCACGTCTTTAGTAGAGGTGAGTGAAAGTTAGTTTCCTCATGATCCATTCATCGGAACTAAACCATATTAGTATGGGACTACCCCTGAGGCACTACTTTTCCGTTAAAGAATTATAGAAAATTGTTCACGTGGCCAAAAGTTACCGGTAACACACATAAAAATAACATCCGATGAATTGATAACCTCCTTTTTTTGAATTCGGTAAAAAAATATCATTTGCCTCTGGAGGTATTTACGTCTCACTTTTCCAATTTTCTCGCCTATTTGTCTTACGATTAGTAGTGGAGTTTTGTGCAAGCAAATCATTCGTTAAACAGTTGAAGCAACGTCATAGTTGCGCACGTTTTTTCACACCAGCGAAGTAATTGTTTTAAGTATGTATTCCGATAATCTTCACTTATTTCCTTAATGTCTAGAATTTGCATTCATTTGACGTAACTTTACTTTAGAATCTCAATGTTCCTTATACATATGTACATATTTCGGGGTACTTATGTCGAGAAATGATAAACATCCCACAATAACTGGGCGCTAGCGTCGAGCAAATTTAATTTTAATTTTTGACAGTTTGTTACTTGTTGATGAAGTTGGGTCCAGTAGGCAGAAAGAAAGAGAGAGGAAAAAAGTGAAAAAGGAAAATATGTAAACGTCAAAAATTTGCCTACAGCGCGGGCTGGCACTCGTAGGCGTTGGATCACACAACGCTTAGCGGCCGAATTTAGGGACGGCAGTTATATGTAGTTGAAGCATAGTGAAAGCTTTTTTCTAATGAGTTGCGAAGCAAGGAAATACTTAAATTTAACTTAATTTTTACATTCTCCCATTTCTCTATTTCACTTTTCAAACTTTTTATTCTGTTGCTAATCCATAGATTGTATTTGTCAATAATTGTATCCGCAAAATGCTTCAGTTTTAAGTCCGTTCGATATATATACCTCGCTGGGTTCTTAATATTGCATCTCAAAATCGCTCCCTAATAGTTAGTCATTTCTATTTTCTTTGTATCTTTTAAGTATGTCATTGAGCATTTTTCCTACTTCTGTTAACGTTTTTTTGTGTACATTATAGCGCGTTTACTATAAATTTTCCTAAGCCCCCAATAGATCAATTACCAAAAGCTTAAAATTCCATTTTTATTACTTGAACTAAAAATATTGTTTGCTTAATCTTATCAAAAAAAATTGTGGCTTACCGGTGTAGTAATTTATCAAACCTACTCATAAAAGCAATACTTGGCACTAGTAATATTATTTTTAGATTTAATATAACAATACACCCACTGGAAAAAGTCCGTAGAAATATCTTTTCACGATATTCATATTTTTCATAAAACAAATTTTTGGTAAATTTTTTTTTATAAACATATAGTTCATTCTATAACATAAACGATTTGAAATATAAGTCTTAAAATTTATCTAAAATATAGAAAAATTTTCAACAAAATTTCAAACTTTTTTGTCAGATTTTTTTTTTGGTATTTTTGGTTTTTATAACAAATTCGAAACTTAAGTTAACGAAAAAAATTCTGTTCGGAAACTCTTTCGATTAGATGTATATTAAAAGAGTTCTTGTGCGTTCTATAAAAATTAAAAATAAAAATACGCATAAGCTCTAGTTCAAAGAGCTGTAAGAGATAGTGAGTAAATGTGCTTGTATTGCCGCTCAACTTAGGTTTCTCTCACTTGATCTGAAGATGAAATAGTGTCTTTGGCCGAGGCACGAAGCGGCGGACATCGTTTTGTCAAATACTTAGCTTGTGAGATGACCCTTCACCCAACAATCTCTTTTAACTTCTCCCTTAGGAGAGTAATCAGAAATTAGGATCTATTTAAATTATATCCCTAAAGTAAAATATTTACTAGTTTTTCTACGTACAAAATTAACATTGACGAAAATTCCTAAATTAAAAAAATTGTTTACAGTCTAAAAAAAATTTAAATTAAAACAAGTAAAAAAGCCTAAGTTCGAGCGAAA